GAAAGTTGTATGCTTCATCGGTGCTATACTGCATCCTGACTGGCTCATCTCTTCCTTGTGACCCTTCTATAAGGGGATGTCCAATTGTCTGCAGATGGGCTTTGGGTCTCCATTCCATGGCCCCCCTCATTTACATTGATATGTTTTTTTCTTCTGGGTCTTTGATGCCTCATACCTGATCCCATTGACACCTCATGATCACACAGGCTGGTGTGCTTCTTCCATGTGTGGTTTGTTGCTCTTCAAGCCTTTAAGACTCCAGATGCTATATCTTTTTTTATTTTTTGGTGTGAATAATTTTTAATAGAGTGGTTGGTGGTTTTTACAAACATATGGCAAAATCACGCAATGCTGCCGGCATTGGACGCAATCCGGGGCCACAAGTCCGCACACCCCTTTGCAACGGGTCCTGTGATGGCCGAACCTTTCATTTCGCCTTTATTGTTTACTATGACCCCCGCATTATCTTCAAAATAAAGAAACACACCACCTTTTCTCTGCTAGGACTTTCGTTGTCGTATCACCACCGCAGGATGGACCTTCTTTCTGAGCTCCGGTTTGCCTTTCTTGACGGTGGCCATCACATGTCACCCACACTGGCAGCGGGCAGTCTGTTAAGCCGGCCCTTGATCCCCTTCACAGAGATGATATATAGATTTTTGGCTCCCGTGTTGTCAGCACAGTTGATCACTGCTCCGACCGGAAGACCCAGGTAAATCCGGAACTTTGCACCAGAGGACCCACCACGTCCTTGCTTCAACATCTCGAACGCCGGAAAGAGACAGAAAGGACGCTATATCTTTTGATAGCCGGGCACCATCAGGGAAGCATTTCATTCTACTGTACATTAGGCACCATGAGTTGGAGCCAACTTATGGTATCTCACAACAGCAACAATATCCAGCCCTTCTTACACTATAATTGTAACTGCTGTCTAGTTTCACCCGAAACCCAACCCAATCCATTGCTGTCAAGTCAACCGAAACTCATTGTAATGCTAAAGACAGAGGAGACTGGTCCTATAGGGTTTCCACCACCACGTGTCTGTCATTTGTCAGACTGTGGTGGCTTGTGTGCTGCTGTGATGCTAGAAGCTATGCCACTGGTATTTCAAATACCAGCAGGGCCGCCCAAAATGAACAGGCTTCAGGAACGTCCAGACTCAGAAGAGATACAAAGAAGGAATAGGCTGTCCACTTCTGAGAAACTTGTTGCCAAAACCTTATGGATGGCATGGAAACATTGTCAGATACTGAAAACTCCTGAACAGAAGCAGAATGGTGCCCAAAGATGAGCCCCTCAGGTCAGAAAGCCTTAAAATATGACCAAGGAAGAGTTGTCTTCTTACAGTAGAATCTACCATAATGACAACAGGAATAAAGTCTTGGGGCCCTTTATTGCTGACAGGGTATGACTCAAAATGAGAGGAAGCAGCTCAAAGCATCAATTAGTAGTCAGAATTTGGAATGTACTAAGTATGAATCTAGGACAATTGGAAGTTGTCAAAAATGAAATATGATGCATAAAGATCGATATTCTAGGTGTGAGTGAGTTGAAGTGGACTGATATTGGCCATTTTAAACCAGAAAATCATATATGTAGCTTATTATGCTGGGAGTGACAGATTCAAGAGGAATGATGTTATATTCATCCTCAAGAAGGGCATTTCAAGATCTTGAAATACAATGCTGTCTGTGATCAGATAATGTCTATTTGCATATAAGGAAATCCAATCAATAAAACTATTATTCAAATTATGCAGCAACCACTAAAGCTGGTGATGCAAAATTAAAATCAACCAAACATGCAATCAAGATGCATTGGTAATTATTATTTTATTTTATTTTTAAAAAATTATTTTATTGGGGGCTCGTACAATTCTCATCACAATCCATACATCCATCCATGTGTCAAGCACATATGTACATTCGCTGCCCTCATCATTCTCAAAACATTTGCCTTCCACCTCAGCCCTTAATAT